CCAGTTCTGTGCTGGTGCCCAGTTCTGTGCCTGGTGCCCAGTTCTGTGCCTGGTGCCCAGTTCTGTGCTGGTGCCCAGTTCTGTGCTGGTGTCCAGTTCTCTGCTGGTGTCCAGTTCTCTGCTGGTGCCCAGTTCTGTGCCTGGTGTCCAGTTCTGTGCTGGTGCCCAGTTCTCTGCTGGTGTCCAGTTCTCTGCTGGTGTCCAGTTCTGTGCCTGGTGCCCAGTTCTGTGCCTGGTGCCCAGTGCCTCTAATACTCACCTGATTTAAAAATGATGCAAACAAAGCAAGTTCAGTCTTTGGTTGAGCTGTCTATCCTTCACTTTAGCACAGCCAAAGGGTGGCGCATGTGAGTAAGGGCATAGATTCAGGAGTGAGCTGCACTGGGATTTAAGTCTGCCAATTAGTAACTAACTGTAAGCATTAAGAAAAGTCTTTAAATTTTCTGAGCTTAAACTTTCTCACCTGTAGAGTAAGACTAATCAGAGCTATTCGACATTGTAAAGTGTTGTGTGTGTAAATCATACACTCATTCAATATATAATTTTATAAAAATAAGTAATATCTGTATGCTTAGAAAAACAACCTAGAAAAATTCAGGCTGTGCTGTCTATGAGAAACCTGTTTTTCTTTTGTTTGCTTGCTTGTTTGTTTGTTTGTTTGTTTGTTTGGTTTGGTTTGTACTTACAACTGAACTCTCAGGACCACAGTCAGTAGTCCAAATAAAAGGCCAGCTAGCAAACCCAGGTCCAGCCCCAGAATGATGGACATTATGCATGTAAACACCCAGATAACCTAGAGGGGAATGGAAATGAAAAGAATTACATTAGTTCACCAGATACCAATCAAGTGATTGAAAACAAATCGTCCCAGAGATCTAGGATTGTCACATAGAAGACATCAAGGCTCTGGCTTCCCGACACTACTCTAATTCTGCTCTGGAGTTCTAAAATTTCAGGCTAGCCTTTGGAAACGGAGCATGATGATATGAGAGGAGAAGCCAGGACTGAGCTCTTTAAAGACAGACGTGTTGGGTCACTTACGGCATCAGTCTTATTCTGCTTCCACAGACAAGGAACATCGCACACCTGCATGAACATCCCTTTCAGATTGGCGATGACGACAGCTGCCAGCACTGACTGCACAGAGAGAGTGGAGGCAGAGGTTTCCATGTGCTGATCTCTACTTTTCCACTCTTTCCCTAATAACAGTCTAGTAAAGAGAAATTGGTGCACAGAAAAGCAGGGTTTTACCTTCTGCAAGGGTTCCAGAAGCTTCCCTAGGGCAACAATGGCAATCATTACAATCCCAGCTGAGATGATGCCAGCAACCTGAAAGACACTTTCCATGAGGTGGGCTCACCCTGCTCACCACAGGTGTGCACAGAAACCTGTGCACAGACACATTTAGCACTTCCTCATCCCTCCCTTTCTGCTCAGTATTTAGAAATATGAGCATTATTTGTTAAGCCCATGCAAAATTAAAAAAAAAAACCAGAGCAATATAACCCACTATTGCTGAGAAATTAAAGAAAATATGAAAACTAACCCTGATAAAGTAAGGCTAATTTGTCTTGAATTTCATTTGAGTGGCTGATGCCTATGAGTGTGATTTAGGAGGGCAACCTTCTGGTTGTGTGCCATGCCATGAGACACAGACCCTCACATTCTTGGGAATGAATCCTTATGGCATTTAGTAGATTCTTCTGCATTGTGGAAGCAGCAGCCATAATGGTTACTCATGTTGTACCTATAGCTTATAATTGCCATGAACAACCCAGAGAAAATAAATTAAGCCATCTTGTTACAAATTCACAGTGTCACATTGGCACACCACAGCTCCTGTCTCCTCTAACAGTTGTAGCACAGGTTCCAAACATTGGCTGAGGCAGTGGAGCAATCACAGGGTAAAGGAAGCTCAGAATCTTTACCTTCGCTGACAAAAAAAAGCTCTGCTAAGATCCATAAATAGTTAGAGAGAGGCTGAGGGGGTGGGCCTATTCATGTATGATCAGTTGGCTTGGTCAGTGAATGCTCTGCTGAGACATCGTGGGGCATAGCTGAGAAGACTAGAGCCTCTGAAACAAAGGAGAAAGAAGAGGGAACCAGAAGCAGACAGAGAGAGGAAGGGGAGAGACAACCAAACACAAGCACTCCCTGTGCATGGGGTCCTAGCTAAAGAAAGCCGGCACCGCACATGTAAGAGGAAAGCATTCATTCCATCCGGTACACTGGTCATTTATGTTTATATATGGGTCAGCCCGGGCAATATCATGACTATAGGTATAAAAATCTCACTTTGCAGAAGTCTAACTTCTTTTTTCTGTCATCTTCTGACTCCATGGTCCAGGATCCCAGCACCATGGTGAACACTTTCCTCTTTTGTCTAAGGAGCTAGCCTCCTCCTGCCTCCCTCCCTTCCCTCCACTCCTCCCTCCTCCCTTCATGTCCTTCTTCTCCTTCTGTTACTTGATCCATATTATTGAGCCACTTACATACAGACTCTAGGGATTGGTAAAAGGTATATTTGGAGACAGGGACAACTGTCTGCACAACTCTGAGTGGGAGATTGGCCACCATTCACCAAGGATAGTAAGTCTCTAATTATAGAGCCAAGTCTAAGTTTGATCATAGTATTAAAACCTATAAGGGATTAATTATTTGAATTTACTGTATAAGGCTGGTTTGTGGGAAAATGTAGATTTTCTATTTTTGAGAAGATTCAATTCTTGGCAAGTTAATTATTGTTAAGGGAAAGGGTAATTAGAGCTATGGAGTAATTTGTGTTAATTACCTTTCTATGAGCCAGCAGAGGTCGGGGTAGGAGTAAGAGAAAGGACACGAAAGGTTGAGCTCTCTACAGCCTGCAGATGCACAGAACACAGCTCAAGTCTACCAACACGCATTCTTCTATTTGTTCTTCAACAACGGTATGCGTGGTACTCCTTCGGTGCCAGGCCCAGCATGTGTGTCACAGATTCTAAGAGGCCTTCCTCCCTCAAGGTGTAGACTAATCAGCATTTAGTAGTCAGTGTGTGCTAAGACTTTCCATTGTGGTACTTAATCCTCACAGCATCCCTTTGAGGTGGATATAATTAGTAGTCCCATTTATGCTGAAGTTGAGGCTCTGGCATAAAGTATGAGAAGCCACACAAGAGGACTTGATCATTTGTTTGGTCACAGGTCCCTGGATTTCAGTCCACGATCTTAGACTTTTAACCCTAGAACTTTATATGCTTTCCAGTAATTAAATATCAAGCCATTTCTGCTTGTTTTCTTCTTCAATGTTGAACTCCTGGCACCCTTCCCTCCTAAATATAATACAGGCCAGTGTGTGGCAGAGGATATTAACTTACCAGAACACTATTATCCCGGAGCCCTTTGCCAAGGAGGTCACTTTACACATTATTACTGGGGCAGGCAGATAACAGCAGGAGAATGGCCGTGAGTAGCTTGGATCCAGCTGCACCCACTTGGGACCACATGTCCTGGGGAGCTGCCCACCACTACAGCAAGCAGCAGGGTCTCCAGCTGCTAACAGCTTCAGCTGCAACAGGCACAGCTTTGGAATTGAGCTCTAATGCACTTCCCCTTGACAACAGAGCCCTGCTTTTGCTTTTTCGTGCATACTGGGTTCCTTTACCTGTTTCCTCCAAGCTAGAAATAATTGCTTAAAATAAAAGCTTTAAAAACTCTCTAAGAATTAAAATTAAATTTTGCTTTAATGTAGCCAAAAAATTGGGAGAGGCCATTTTAATAGGAGAGGAACATCACATATATGTCGTGATGTCATCTGTACTATGGTGACATCATCTGTATTGTGGTAACGTCATCCATATTGTGGGGACATCAAATGTGCTGTGAGAACATTTACAGTTCTCCCTGAGCAAGTCATTGTTTTCTTGGTATTTGCTTTCATTCTTATGTCTCTGCCTTAACAAAACCCTTGAAGACTTGTATTTTATGGCAGTTTGGGCTTATTCTCTTTTATACTCTTGGAGTTTTCTTTCTTTCTTTTTCTTTTTGTTCCTTAAACAATGTTCTTTCCTATGTCAGGAAGCTAAAGCCTTCTGAGCCTCCACAGAAATACAGTCCTGGTCTAAGGCTTTGGCTTTGCTCTGTGTGGAGCTGAGTCTACCTTCAAGCAAACTCTGAGAGTGTTTCCTGGCCTTTCTCACCAGCCTCAGGAGGAATTAGCTGGTTTTATGGTTACCTTATGAAAGCAACAACCAAAAGACATATTTAAGAGGCAAAATTAAAGCCATATTCAGAACTCCAAGAACAGAAATATTACTCAGGAAGAAGTGCCAAAATGTTACAGTAAAAAAATTCTTGTCTAATAAATCATTCCTCTAAAAGCCTCCAGAGGAAGTTCCTGACTTTTGAAAAGGAAATATGAATAGAAAGTACAATAACTCGGGCTAGAGAGAGCTCAGTGGTTAAGAGCTCTGGCTGCTCTTCCCAAGAACCTAGATTCCACTCTAAGCACCCACAAGGTGGCTCACAGCTATCTGTAACTCCAGTCCTGGGGCATCCAACCCTCTTCCACTGCATATATGTGGTGCTCATATATATGTGCAGGTAAAACACCCACACACATAAATTTAAAGGAATATATTACAGCTTGCAAAGCTGCAAAGAGCTTCATTTTCCCATGGTGGTACTGGGGATGAGACTCAGGACCTCAGACATGCAGGGCAAGCATTCAGATACACTGAACTGTATCCTCAACCTTCTTCTCCCTTTTTCTTCTGAGACAAGGTTTCACATCATTGTCCCAGCTGGTCTCAAATTCATCCCATAACCCAAACAGAGATTTCTTGTACTTGGGATCAATCCTGCCTCAGACTCCCAAGTAGCTGGACTTACTGGCCTGTGCCACCAGGCTAAGCTTTGGGAAATGCTTTTTTACCAGGCTCTTGCTCTCCCTAGATAACAAACTAATAAACAGCATCATTCTTTTTTACTTATGAATGTGACTGTCCCTGGTTAACCAGGTGAGTGTAGTTATCAGCCAGGTGAACACTGACACATTAGGATTTGGCAATCACAGTTTCAGGAGACTATAGATGTTGCTTTTAAAGAAGTTTTTGATAAGGGTTGGGCAAGTCAAAGAGATGAGGCCCAAATTGTACCAGATGAGGCAGCACAAGTCCCTCTCTCTTGAAGGCTAATGGTCCTGTTTAGTCTTGTGGAAGCCTCTCTCAGCCACCCACTTTCTGTTCCCTGTTCCCAGTGTTACCCGCTGTCACTACATACCTGTGTCTTTCCCCCAGTGCTCTCCTGGACAGCCGTTCGAGACAGAGCAGTGGTAGCCACAAAACAGGAGAAGAATCCAGAGAAGACGTTGCTTACCCCAAAGGCGATGAATTCCTAAGAAAGAGACTAGGTTGCAGTGCTGTTGCAAAGAGGGTGCTTGCCAGACCCTCACCAAGTGCTCGTCAGAAGGCTTGGTGGATACGGGTGCCTGCTCTGCAAATTTGGTGACGTGAGATCAAGTTCCAGCACCATGCAGAGGTGAAGAGAGAGACCTGACTCCACAAAGCTGTACTCTGACCTCCACATCTGGTCTGTGGCACACATGCACACACACATCATGTGTAATCACATAGCAATCATTTAAAAGGGAAATAAATTACCAAGAGTTACTTGGCCACATGCAAAGCTCCTTGTCTAGCGTAATAGTTAACTTTTATATTGCCTTTGACCTGACTGAATTAGCATTTTTTTAATTAGTGCTGTGCTGGTTAGTTTTATGTCAACTTGACACAAGCTAGAGTCATTTTGGAAGAAGGAAACTCATTTGAGAAAATACCTACACCAGAGTGGCCTGTGGCCAAACATGTAAGGCATTTATTTTTCCTTCCTTCCTTCCTTCCTTCCTTCCTTCCTTCCTTCCTTCCTTCCTTCCTTC